CTTATATATATATATATATATATATATATATATATATTATTTAAAAAATATTTTACATAACTTGTAAATTTCTATTTTTTCGGAACTTTAAATTTGTTCAATTATCAAGCAATGTTGGATAACTTTTGATGAAAATGATTTACTTTTGAAAATAGAATGGTGTTTTATTGAAGATTTTAGGAGCTGGTAATAATATTTCAAATTTTTATGCCTATGTCGTGTTTGACCAATCAAAAGAAAAGTGGGGGAAAATGTAGGTTAGAGGTTAGTGCTTTATACATACTTGTCTAGAGGGGGGCTGTCGGTTAAGAATATAATTTTAATATACAATGAAATGATCACAGATATATATTTTCTTTGCAACAAGAGGCTAATTTTAGGATTTTTTTTAAAAAAAATTATTGTTGCATATTCTTGAACTATCTTAAAGGGGCTTTTAGTATGATTAAAACAATTTTACATATTATATTGATCCTATATTACAATACTTATTATATTCAATGTCAATATCAAAATTAAAAATCAAGGAATTACATATATGTACCATTTAAATATAATAACATAATTGATATATAATTATAATACAACTTTTTTTATGAAAAGTTCTATTAACTATATTTTAAAGTACAATGCCTACATATTACAATTAGTTTATTTCGCTGATTTAATAGATGGTTATTCTTAGAAATCTTAATATGTAGATTTCATGTAGATATAGGTCATATGGGTCATTTAATGACTTACAAATTCTCGTTTTGTTTGTTTTTTTTTTTTGGTGGGGGGTGTTTTTTTAATAATTTCCATTTTACTGTGGTGGCTTTATTGATTTCTTTTAAATTCCCGAAAGTATTTTGAAAGGGGTGTCCGGTTACGTTACCCATTGTTGTTAAAAGTAGAAATATGTTGATACCACCTTCATCTAAAGGGGGGGTTTCTTGTGCTTCCAATATAAATTTTCTTAACATCTGGGTTTTCAGTAGATGAATTCGTGCAATGGGAAACAATAGATTCAGTAAGACATTTATTTTGCAATGGACCGTTTATGGGATTTCTACAGTTGCATAATTTATTATCAATATTATTGATTTCCGTTTTGGAATTAGTTGTTTTTTTTTTTGTTTTTTGTTTTTTTTAGGTTTAAGTGTTTATTTAAAATTTTACGTTGTTTATTTTTCCAAGATTTTCAGTACAACTATAGCTTAATTTTAGCGTATCTTATTGAAAATCTTGCTAAGAGAATTATTACTTGGAAAATATTTTTCAATTAAAGCAAGAAACTGCCCTTACTTGCTGCTAATCATTTGGTTAAATGGGTGGGGTACCAAATGATATTTCTATTTTTATTTTTTCTTCGGTTATTGTTATCATTTCTATATTTGATATCTGGACATTTATAGCCCCTATTTTTTAAATAATATATAAATAACGATTGCGTTAAAGCATAAAACCAACTGTCAACGCTCGGTGTTGACTTCAATATTCAATTATATAAAAGTTCTATCCCTGATATCAAGAACTCATAAATATACCATATCTTAAAACTATATTTCTTATTACAAACACACACATACACATACATATATATATATATATATATATATATATATATATATATATATATATATATATATATATATATAGAGAGAGAGGGGGGATGTGACGTCATGTGATTCCGTCATTGGTTAGCGCTTAGTTAATAGTCCTGTTTGTTCTGGCCAATACCGAGAGACTTGTTTTCAAAGGATAGCTTTCTTCATTCCCTTCTTCTGGGAGAACAGTAATTAATCTCTGGTGACCAAATTCCTGGTGCCTTTGTCGGGTTTGTTAATCAATTTTATTCGTTTTTAACTTTACAAATTGAATTGATTTACATACTTTTGATTATTATTTTAAAATTTTAATCGTGCGCCAGTGTTTTTTTTTTCTCTTTTCATTTAATCTCTTTAGAATTGTTTTCATTGTTCGCTGTTAGGACTAAAATGATTTTCGCCAACGATTTTTCGAAGGTTTGTCCGAAAGATTCTTTAGAAATTTATCCCCACCTTTTTTCAGAATGAAAATGTTGATATCTGTCCTATTGATATCTGGATATTAAGGCAATTATTAAATTTTGAAGTATTAAATCTGTGTGTGTTTATTTAAGTGTAACTTATTTTGTTTTGACCTCAGTACGGGTGACTTTTTTTCTGTCTTCTTTTTTTTCCTTTTGTAATTAAAAAAAATCATTTTAGCTTTTTTGTTTGTTTTTATTTTTCTGATTATTTTTTTATTTTTTGGTTGAGGGCTTTTTTTTTTTTGTTATTTGATTTGTTTTAGATTTTAGTTTTAAAAACTTGATCATGTCTCACAAATATATCGCGTGTCCCAATTGAGGCAAAAAAAAAATAATACCGGTGCCCGGAGAAACACATTCACATTAGTTTTTAAAACACATAAATATAATTAATTTGCCAAACTAAAGCCTGTGTAATCTTATCTAACAATTTCTGATGGTGACTCTAATCCAAATTTATGGGAGGTTTAAAATATCTAAAGTAGCATTGAATGTGTTAAATACACCGATAAAAATCAACTACAAAGCGTTGATAGTATGAAGGGAAATATATAACGCGGAGCGAAAAGCATTTGACATCCAACATTAATCAAGAGAAGTGTTCTGTACTTCTAAGTTGAATGTTATTATTTAATGACCTTGTCTGACGACTATCTTTGTTTTTTTTTGGGGGGGTCTGTCTTTTTCCTTTTTATCACTACGTTCGCTATATCACGAACTCTGTTGTCATGATATCTGGACATCGTTTACGTCATCTTGTGGTAGAAGACATTCACCACTCTGCAATGACTTTCTGCATAAAGCGTAAATTCACAAGCTTATCGCTATTTTCATGGCAAATGTTCAGAGGATCTTCATTCTTTAGTTCCATCAGTTCGAACTTTTACATTTCTACGAAGTTGGATCAACTTCATTTCCTCCGTCTTCCAAATTCAACTCGGGCATTTTTACCCATTTTTGTGGAACAGAGCCCCCCCCCACGCTCGTGGATGCTTCACAGAATACATCAGCGTTAACTTAAGGTCAAGGATTAGTTGTTATCTATCCTCCTCATCCTCACTTCCTACCATTACATTTTTCTAACTCATATCACACAATTCGTTACCATTTTAAACAGTAACGCTCTACCTTGAGAGGCCCTCGAGGATTGTATTTGTTAAATTCTAGTATAATAAATGGGCAGCGATACTAGAATACACTGTTGCTCTGCAGCAGTCACGGGCAAAATGTGGAAAATAATTTTCATGAACATTTTGTTTGCATCGTTGTTTTCATTCATATTTTTACACGCATAATGATTATGTCGTTATGTGTGTGAGAAAATAACAATAATTAAATACAATGTCTCTTGAATTTTGTAACGTTTCCTTGGAGGTAATTTTTTCAACATTTTAAACCATTGGGGATTTTTCACTAAGGATGATCATACGTGTAACCATTTTATGCTTTAGAAAGAAGAAACCTTCATTTATTTGAAATAATATATTTTTTAGTATACACAAATGAATAAATTAAGCAGTGTGTGTCAATAACATTATCATCAGTGATATTATCACAAGACTTCAAAAGAAACAACTTTCCTCAATTTGTAAGAAAAATGTTTAGGCGTATGATCTTCTCTAGTTAAAATGGCTGAGGCATTTTCAATGAAAAATTACCTTTAATTTTTCTTGGTGGTTCTGGCCACCTTGTAATGATCCATATCCCATGTTGCCCATTCTTTGAAAAATGCTACCCATGCCTGCTCCCCAGCAAAACGTTTTAAGAATAAGTAAGTTCTAGTGAGAGGTATAATATTATAATCACAAAGCAGTTACATCAAAGCCTTAAATATACAGAGTAATCCGACATTAAACGCACCCTTATAATCGGTTTCCCAGGGACTTTTTCCGACTAATTTAATATCTTAGTCTCTCCGAATGTATTTGGAACGAAAAGCTTTTTCATGTTTATTCTCGGCTGCTCTTACTCACACACAAACCTCCTGTAATTTGTCCTCAACTAGCTTCCCCTAAGATGTTTACTCCAAATGATAAAGTCGAAAGTTTACACTAATTGATAGCAACACTTTAAATTCAAAGCAGGAAAACCTGGAAAAATATAAATGGAAAAAAAAATTGAAAAGCATATCTGCCTTTAGCGACTTTTGTCAACAACACGATGTTCCCATTTTGTGGTAACTTGAGCAGGGTAATTAACTCCAGCTTGCAAAGATCACGAAAAGGGTTTCGGATTGACAACGCACGGAACAAGCAGCCTGCTTCTTACTTACGACATTCAAAAAAAAAAAAAAAGTGGTGTTTAGTTTGTTTTTCTCTCTCTCTCTCATATATATATATATATATATATATATATATTCCATTTTTATTTTGGTTGTTTTCCTCTGTGTGTCTGCATACGTGTATGTCTCCCCGGCACAATTAAATATATTTTTCTGCCTAAGCCATACCAAGCCAAGTTAGTTACTGGAAGAATATAAACTGAAATTTAAGATTCTCCTTAACCGACACTAACTCGACAAGAACAACAACAACAACAACAAAAAAAGCAAAAGCTACGAAAATAAAATAAAAAATGAAATGAAAACATCATCAGAAAATAAAGCCAAAACCAAAAGATCTCGTCAGTGAAGTGAAAGAAGCGTCAAACTTGACATTGACAGTATTTGGAATGATCCGAGGGAGAAAAAAAAATGTCAGACTATACAAACAATGATACTAATAAAAACTGTTTGAATGATAAATAGATTACTGGATTATTGAGACAGCATCTCTAGATTAACTCACCAGTTAGTATTGCTTCAAAGGCTCAATGAATGCAACACTCCACATTATTATATAGACCACACACACATACACACTGACAAGGCTGAATAGCTTAGTTTACCCAATGAATTAATAGAGGAAGGAAGATGTGGAGAGGCATTTTCGTAACTTCATGTAGTGAC